CGATGTCCCCACCAGAGGCCCAGGCACCCCCATGTGCCCCAGGAGAGAAGAGCAGCCAGAGCACTGTCCCCCGAGATCCAGCCCAGTGACACCGGGGCTCTGTCCCTGGCCTCCTCCAGACACAATGCCGGTGTGGCATGGCACCCTGGCACCCACTCCCCATGCGTGCACACTTCCAGTGACGCTGATGAAACATCTGCAGAACCAATCAGGTTCACGGGACACCAGGGTCGCAGGACACCCTGATGAGCTTGTGTCCGGGCAGAGCCAGTGAGTCCATCAGCATTGCTCATGTCTGGGTTTGTGGGACTCCCGGGCAGGGTGAGATTCAGAGTTCCGCAGGGCCATGGACATGGGGTCAAGTCATGCCCAAGCCATCCGGACAGGGCCTCAAAGTGCAGCAGGCACAGACCAGTGGGATGCAGCATCTCACTGACGTGTTCCCATCAACACTGTCTACTGCAGGCCCAGAGACAAGCCTGTGTCTGCAAGGCTCTCTTGACTCAGCCTTCTACATTTAACTATGCCGGAACCTGAGAAAGGAAGTGGGAAGAAAAGGAACGATTTGTTGAGCATCTACTCCATACCAGACACTGTGCTGGGAGACACATTCATTTAATCCCACGACAGCTCGGTGGAACTGACTTAGCACCCGAGGTTGATGGGCACTAAGAAACTCTTCAAGGTTACACACCCTGTTCACGGAAGTCAGATCCAACCGACGGTCAAGGTTAGAGTTAACACACGCGACAAACAACTGACGGAATACAGCAATAGTGGTTTCCACGCTCTGACCTGCTCACAGATACCAGCAGGATCTTCAGAGTGCAGGAAGGGGAGAGGCTGCTACACTGTTCAAGGCGTCCCTCCCACTGCCCTGACCCAAGTGTTTGTAGGACATATTATGACTCTGACGGCTGAGAAAGCCATTACCATCTCTTCCGAGATTCCCTGGTCTTTCTCCAGGGTCTAATTCAAAAACAGTTTTCACCCAATGCATCTCTAAACGCATTTTCTTCAGACATCAGTGAGGCATATGTGTGTGGGGTCAGGATCTACCTTTTATGCTTTTACCTTAGTTATAAACAGCCCCTAATGTGTGCCCATGACATCAAAGCCTAGCGCTTCTCCAGGGACTGAGGCCCTGGTGATTTCTACATGGTAAGAACCTCAGCAAGAGCTCTTAAAGCTCACAGACACAGATGCCATGCTGACCGGTGGAAAGTGAGGGGCTGAATCTGCGTCCACCATCAGTGTCTGACCAGCTGAGGTGGCCACAGCAGCCCTGACTCCCCCAGGAGGAAGAGCAAAAGCCTCAAAGCCTCTGAAGTTTGAATATCTCTCACAAAAGACAGAAAGAAGCATATAATTTAATTGCTTCTTAGCTATTTATATATGGCAAAAATGTCCACAGAGAAAGAATCACCCATCCACAAGACAGCTTGAGTTTAGCCAACAGTGGTTCAGACAGCAGCTGTAACTTCCAAAGCACCGGACAGCTCCTGGAATAGAAGTGGGCACGGGACCAGCCCTACCATCCCCGGAGCAGCTCTGCACCCAAGGCAGTTCCTACCCAGAAGGGCAGAGTAGCACAGGGCCCACGAATGATGTCCAGGGGGCTGTGTGTGCAAGACCTCCCAGTGCAGACCCTCGGCAGTTCAGTGGAGCTGGTGTCTGCTGTGGCAGATGTGACAGGTGAGCCCTGACTCACTCAGGGCATAAACCGAGCAGTCCAAAGGCCAGGGGAGAAGGTGGAGCGCTCCTCCACAGGAAGGCATACAACAGAATAGTTTCACTCACCAGTGGCTGCAGAAATCTGCATTGTCGATTTTATTTTCAAGCAAAATTTGACACTCCAAAATATTACAGGCGATCAGAATTCGAGTAAGAATACCAGGCCAGCACTTGAACCCATTTGCCTCCCCCACGCACGGGACAGATGGAAATTTTGTAATTAGCCTGTTAATTAGTTAATAGTTAATTAATTTTTAAATTAACCTGTTAATTAGTCCCAGTTAACAAGAAGTGGGAGAAGGCAGAATACTAGGAAAAAAACAACCTCCAATTTTCTCAAGTTAAATGTAGCAGTCATTAGTTTTCAAAGCCTGTTCAAGGAAGAACCAGTCAGGCTGACGTGACACAGGAACTGTGAAAATATCCCATAAATCAGGCAACAAATCCAAGGAAGTATGACAAGCAGCACATGAATGATGAAAGCAGCGATAGCTCGAGAGACGGAACGTAATTCAAGGGAGGCAAGGCCAAGATCTGAGCCCTGCTTTTCCCACTCACATGCTCAGCACTGGCACAGGATCCCTGCAGGACACAGGCGATGGATGACTGAGTGACTTCTAACCATGCAGGAATCAAAACATTCCATTAGACACTACGTGGAGGATTAGCTAACAGTCAACTTGGAAGGCCCAGCTAAACTGAATCAGCGTGACTGGGCGTGGAAGACACACCTGAGGGTTATTGCCAAAGGCATAAAAACAGAGATCTTAGAGACTAAGATCTTGGGCTGTTGGTTTTCCAGAAGAAGCCTGCTGCGATGGTTTTCCTGATGCGAACTTGGCTGTTCTCGCTGCAGGAGGAGCTCAGGGCCTCGCTGTCCCTGGGAACGGCTGCTGTTCTCCTCAGGGGACCTCTGATCTTCATCGTGAGCATCACTTCCCGGCTCCAGCACAGATCCCTCAGCCTGGTGGCACAGATCCTTCACCCCGCTGGTGCAGGTTTTCCGGCTTCCACCCCTGGCCTTTGGGCCTTCCAGGTGCAGATCCTCAATACGGACAAGCATTGGACACTGCTGTGGGCTCCAGGCCTTCAGCTGACTTCTGTGGGACATGGCTGTGGGATCCACACCCCTGGCAGGATGCTTTGGGCCTCTAGTGTGTGGCTGTATCACTTGCACTCCTCTGCATTTGACTTTCTAATCCTATATATTATGTGTCCTGAATTAAATGTTTTCCTTGCAAAGTGTGACTAGGACACACCATGACTCTGGTGGAGATTTCTTACATCAGGTATTTTATGCCGCTGGGCATACCTAAAATATGGTCACTTTCCCTTATTTAGCCACATCCACCTTGCAGGCCCAGTGCAAGAGACAACCATCAAAAGAAATAGGAAGGAAATTAAACTTAAAAATAAAACACTGTGCTTTTTACCTTCTAACTCAATCTTTATCCAGCCTTGGATAAAGTAAGTGTCAGCTGTCAGTCACACAGTCCCAGGCGCCTGGCATGGACACAGTACTTGGAACCTGCTGCCCAGGACCACAGACAGCACAAGCAGACTTCCGAGCACAACTTGGTACAGTCTGATCTGGGAGATTTGAGCAAAGAGAGACTGGGGGGGTCCTTGTTTTAGGTTCAGATTTTTACTCTCTGGGTCAATACTCCTCACCTGGCAGGTCCCCAAGGCCAAGGCTGCAGGTGTTGCTACAGCACACAGGGATGCTGTGGCCTCTCACGGCAGGGGCAGCACCAACCTGTACCTTTCTTAGCCCAAGATTTCCAAGTCAGTCCACCAGGGAAATTGTTTTGCTTTAGAAAAATGCCACAAAATCAAGGACATGTTTCTTATTTCCAAGGAAAATGCCCCTTTTGTAGTACAATGATAACCTGTGTGATTATTTTGGAGCATACTCTACTTTCCCTTTTCAGACACAGGACTAAAAGGCTCAGGGGAGAAGAAGATATTGAGCTTCCACCTGCAGATCACCCCAGACACCTGGCAGGTTCTAAGGACATGAAGTCTGACTTCTAGCCTAGGACAGGCTTGAAAGGCCCTGCTTCCTGCTGTCTCCTCTCTATGAATCAGATGAAAAGACCACTCCAGTACATTCTCAACATCTTCCTTGTTTTAAGGTTTTTCTCTTACTCCTTATACAGCCACGCTAGCCCAACATCAGCCCAGCAATGCTCCGAACCCTGCTCCCTCTGGCAGTGGATGCCATCTCTGCTCCTGCTTGCTGTCCCAAAGCTGAAGAGTCCCCTGCCTGAGTGGCAGGACCAGCCTGGGTCCTGCAGCCAGCAGTCCCTCATCAGAAGAGCCCTCCCAGTGCTCTCAGCCTCGAAACCTCAATCTGCCCATCACTGGCCTTTAGAGTTATAACTAATGTACCCCTAGGTTACGGAATCAGAAAGTTTTGAAGTCAGAAGGAACTTTGTAAAGACTGTCTGTCCCACTGATGGCAAACCTTTTAGAGTTGAGCGCCCAACTGCAACGCAAATCCGCTTCTTTACTGCTAAGTGCCAACCCTGCAATTAAACCTGAATAGTGAGGTTTTGGTTCAGAAAAAGGAACTCAAACACCAACATCTTTTGTCTTAAAAGCAAAACAAATAACATGTGTGCTATAGGTTTGCTAGATTCTAGCCCCTCACAGAAAAGAACTGGAGGCCCAGACATTGAGTGCTGTGCCGGGAGTCTCCCAGATCCTAACGGGTGGCATTTTAACTAGGAATCCCGGATCCCAATTCCCATGAAAACACACTACCTTCCAGCTCAAGACCTAACCACGGCTCTCCTTACTCTACACAGGGGCCATTGGGATGAAACCCAGGGCCTTGAGCCTGCCAGGCCAGTTACCATCATTTAGTTAAAAAAACACCTATCCTTAAACAACACGGTTCACATTTCTGCCACTTCCCGTAAGGACTGCGAGTGCCCAAAGTGCTGACTGGGCAGCCAGTTGTGCAGCCACCGACCAGTGCATCTGCTGCAGGGCAGCATGGCCTCTGGAGGGCAGGTCCTTCCTTCCCTGGCAGACAGCAAAGGTGCCACTATCCATTCCTCACCTCCCAGGAGTAAGCACGCATGAATTTATAGAGACAAGGAAACTGGCCAACAAAGATAAAGTGCAGCAAAGAAACAGAAAGTACTGAGGCTGGAGGTGACATCTGGGTACGCAGGAAACGAGTGACGGTGAGGGACGGAAGCCCCGGGGAAGCCAGGAGGGTGGGTGGACCCAAAGAGGAAAGGAGAGGACAGAAGGGTGGGGGTGTGACAGAACCCTCGGGGGACGGCACAACACAAGGGCGAAGGGGTAAGTTCTGTGGCTCCTCCCGACTGAGAGAGAGAGAGTAACCCCCAACACACCGAACGCATTCTCTCCAGGCAGTAACCAGCCGGAGAGGAGGAACGCTACCGCTGTCCACATCACTTCCTGTTGGGGGTGTTTCCTGTTTTGTTTGCTTTTGGTGCTAGGGAATGGAACCAGGACCCTGAGCTGCTGCTATTCAAACTGCTTTTGATAAGTTTTATGAAGAAGTGTAATTCTCTAATGTTTAAAGTATGCTACACAAATATTAGTTTTACTGTCTACAGCCATACCACCCTGAACATGCCCTATCTCGTCTGATCTCAGAAGCTAAGCAGGGTCAGGCCTGGTTCATACTTGGATGGGAGACAAATATTAGTTTTAATTTGCCATTTCCCTATATGTCTATAATCAACAGTAAGAAAGCTTTTAAATGTTTGATAAAAATGTTTAAAGGTCAGGGGAATAAGTAATTTTCTTACTGACTATGCAGACTGTCTGTGTTCACAGAGGCCTTTCCAGGGCCCCTCACCAGTCTGGAGGGAGCACTCTGAGGACCAGAGGTATCCATGTACCCAGAGTTCCTCTGCTCAGTTTTGTTCCTGGTGAGGCTTCACCTAAAAGCCTGTTTTCACTGGCAGAATAAAACAGAGGCCAGGCTGAGAGGGACCAACCGCCACAGCCTGGGGAGCGGAGCGGAATGGCACCAAAGTGACTCATCTAAGCCGTGCAGCGCAGCTAAACTAAAGCCAGTCCTCCCAGCTCCAGGTCGGCCCTCTGCCTGCCCTGCACTGCAGTCCAGTGTCCCTGGCCGGGGGAGGCAGCTGGTGCTTCTACTCCTGTTCCGGTTTAAAGCTCAGGGGCCCACGCCTCCCATGTGTGGAAGGGGACCCATCACGGGGCTCGTGCTGTTAGGAGCTGGGCTCTGGTCAGAGGGGACAGGTCACTGTGGGCACAGCCCGGAAGCATCCCAGCTCCTCTCTGGACCTCTCTCTTCCTGCTGCCATGCCTGAGCAGCTTCCCTCAGCCAGGCCCCTCTGCCATGCTGTCTTGCCTTGCAGCTATGGACCAAAACATGAGCCCAGATATCCCCTCCTGAGGTGGTGGGTGTAACGGGAGGGAAGCGACTAAGACGATTCCCAAGTCATCACAACCAGCAAGGCAAGTAATGCAGACCTCCTATGAGAACGCCACACGGGGCTGGCTCTTCACCGACAGCCAGCAAATCACAACCCACACCCGGGTCTTTCAAAGAAAAGACGAAGACATGATTAGAAAAACAGAGTGAAATTCTACACCACTCGTGTCTTTGTGAGTTGCAGTTGTTCGTGTGAAGACAATGGACGTCTTCTCTGATGCCATGCCGCTCTCTCTCTTCTGCCTGGTGCGAGGCCTGTGGTGTCCACCCAGAGCAAAACAAGACCCGGGTCGATGCACCATTTGACACGTGTGTGCTCTGGCTGAACTCTCCAGCATCCCCAGGCTCGTGTTTCCTCTAACTTCAATTCTTCCATTTCATACCAATCTGGTTCCTTCACAGCACAGTACAGATGGACAGCCCTGAGAGCGGGTCAGCCAGCCAGGACACCTCAGACTGTCCAGGAGGGACTGTGACAGGTGTGACACCACCTGAAAACCAACGGGAAGCCATTCAGGAGTGCTGGTACTGACACCTGTGTGACTTGTAGCCAGCAACCAGGAGCTGCAGAGACATAGGTGAGCTCCCGACACAGCATGGGGAGGGCTTAATGCCCATCTGGAAAACTAATGGAAGGAATACATGGTAATTTAGTATTTGTAATAGTTCCCAAAGGTGTCAGCTTCTACCCTGGCTCTGTCTCTTACACTTATTCAAAATGTCTGCACTGTGCCCAGTGCTGACTTCCCAGAGCTTGGAGGTAACAGAGTCAGGGCTGTAAGTGTTGTGGGGCTGTGGTGTGGTGCAGGGATGGAGCTCAGTGTGCACAGCTCTTCAATTCAACCCTAACATGGACCGGGTGTGGGATGGCTTCTGATGGCATGATGAGGCGGGGGAATCTGACTGGCTCCAGGTTTACAGCCACTAGGAGAGGAGGCCCAGCGTGTGAAGGCCTTGGGTTCAATCTGCACAGCTACCCCACCCTCCAAATCAATCCACAGCATAACAAACAGTTATGTTTTCTTAGACTGGAAGCATCACAAACACACTTCTGCACAATTTCAAGTGTTTTCAAATATTTTTATTTGCTAAACATCTTGATGTGAAATCTCTCCTAAAGCATCACACACACTTCTGCACAATTTCAAGTGTTTTAAAATATTTTTATTTGCTAAAAATCTTGATGTGAAATCTCTCCTTCATTAAAGGGTGTCCCTGGAATATACCCTGAATTACACAAAGCCAAGCAACCTCTGGTCTTCGCCCACCCCACCCTCACAGGGGAGCAGGCCGTGTCGTGTGGGCCTGCTCTGGGCACATATGACCTTCACATCCCTCCTACCCTTCAAGATCTAAAAACAGACACAGAGCTGGAGCACAACAGCAGGGAGTGGAGGGCTTGACCCAGACACGGTGCAAGGGTGGGGAGCCGTCTCCCCAGGTCTGGGCCGGCAGGTACTCGGCTGAACTCCAGGCCGTTCAGACCATGTGGCTGTCCGCCCAGGAGATGAGGTAATGTCTGGGTTGACTGCCAACATTTCTCCAGCTGGCAGGATGCGCGGGTAAAGGTTTCTACGGCAGGGGGCCAGTGCACTTGGTGCTGCTGCGGTCAGCACCGTTCCGCTCACTGGCACTCACAGTTTGCCTCCTACCTGTTCAGACTGAAGATGGGGAAGGCAGGAAACAGCATCATCAGGGACGAGGGCCGCAGCCCCTGTAGACGCCTCAGCTGCCTGCGCTGCCTCCTCTCCCGGCAGTTGTAAACCTGGAGCCAGTCAGATTCCCCCACCTCATCACAGCATCAGAACCAGTCCAGGACAAACAGCCAGGTGGGCTGATTCTCAGAAATGCAGAATTTACCAGTCAGATCACCAATAGTTTCTTCTCCTTTCAAAAAACAGAATTTTCTGTGGCATCTGTTTCTGATGATCTGTTTTACGGCCTCATGTGTTACAGGCACCGTGGTGAAGCTACCCACCAGGCTTCCTGGTTCCAGAGCTGGCCACTCTCTGTGGTTACACTCAACAACTCAAAAAGCTCAGCACACCACCCGGCAGCTCCTTTCCTTTAATTTAGATTTTCCCCACTGTTACCAGACAAGGCATCTGGCAGCCTTGCTAAGAAGACAGGACATTTCCAGGAGTCAAGAACTGAATGGGACCTGAGTCAGCACACAGGCCCACCCACAGGGGATGGCCTCCCCGTCTGCCACCAAGGTGACCTCTCAAAGGAGGCGGCCACGCTGCTTCCCACCGTCAGGTACTCCTCCAGGAAGGGGCGGGAACATATCACATCAGGGCAAAGTCTCCAAAGGAAGGTACTGCAGTGTCAGCACTGCATGCGAACAACACTGCACTGCCCTGCAGCACGAGACACATGGCCACCACCCGACACGCCTCGCAGGAAGGCAGCTCTCCAGGCAGGGGCTTGCAGAGTCGGGGTCCAGGTGGGTACTCCCTGGGCCTCGGGCCGCCGGGCCAGGCCAACCCAGCTAGCCAGTGCACCCTGATTCCATGAGGGTAGCTAAGGGGGTTTTAAAGGTCGAACAGCCCTCCCAAACCAAAGAAGTTATTTCCAACTTTTCTGAACTTCGTGTCTTAGACATGTCCACTCCAAATGTGCTTTTCAGCAAGAGCCCATGAGTCCCTGTGAATCAGGAGAGTTATAGGAAGGAAGGGACCTGAAACCACAGTGGCATCTTCTGTCACCAGGAGATAGGTCAGAGTCACAGACCCTTGTACCAGGCGGTGTATCAGGAGGAAAGGTGAGGGCTGGAAGGGAGTGTGGCTGTTTCCACGCCTAGACAAGGGGTGTGGCCATCTCCCCAGTGTCCACACACAGACACACATCACCCCAGGGCCCAAACAGTTCTACACTGCAGCGCGGGTTTTCAGAAATCCCTTCCTCCTTCCCAGAAGGGAAGCCTGTATCTCCCCAGGACTGTGTGCTCCTGTCCTGTCTGTTCTGACCCCACAGTGTGACAGGAGAACCACATGTGCCTTCTCTCAGGGCGTGGTGAATGGTTATCTTTAAAATGGCAATATTAGATATAAAAAATGTACAACAGTCATCCTTTTCAAATGCTAGAAACTCTTTTGTTGCAATGAAAAGAAGCTCAGAAAAGCTCCCATGAGCGAAGCAGTCAAACTTTATTTAGAGTGGAGATTTCTCATTATCAGCCAGACTGGATAGAAATTACTAATTAATTGAACATTATAGCTGTAAGACACATTAATTCATCTTACTTACTGCATTTGCTGAACACATGTGTATTTTAATGTTCTATTAAACTAATAAAAGCAGAGTCTTCAAAGACTATTAATGGGGACATTCCAACCAGGCTGCCTATCTATCTTCAGTCTACTGGGGAATGGACAGGCCACTACCTTGAGATTTGCTGGAATAAACCAGTGTGTGAGCATAACATTTCAGACCATGTGGCTTCATTTCAGGTTTACATTAATGCAGTGGTTTTGTGGTAATGACCACAAACCTTGAAACCACACTCTTTCCTCCTTCCTCCCAATCTTTCTATTCATCTCAGGTATGGGAGACTCTGGCTCCAACACCAAACCCAGAAAGCAGTTTCCATGCTGTGCTCCTCTCAGAGCCAGGGGCCCAGCACTGCTCTGTTCCTGTGGCTGACTCTGGACACCATGGATTTTCCCAGGACACTGAAGGCTGGATTATGATCTCTGTTCATCTCCCTGGATCACACACAGTTTAACTCCCACAGGAAAGACTGGGGTCAGGGGAAAGATCAAGTTTAAAGAGGATTTTTAAGCATCAGATTGCACTGCTCACTGCAGAAACCTTGCCCCCTGAAAATTCTCTTCCTGGAAGCTGGCAGATGCCAGGATCCCAGGCTTCGCTTCCTGAGCCAGGAGAAGCCAGAGTTACTGGGAGCAATGCAGCCTTTCTCCTCCCAGAGCACAAGGGCCAACTCTCTGCCACTGAGCTGGCTCCTATGGTTTCCACATCTCGGATCTGTTCTTCACGCCTCTTCCTCAGCAACTACTCCGCTTCTGATGGTCTCCACCAGGACTCCCTTCTCATGCCTGACCACCACCTCCTGGTGCTCCTGAGGCCTCCCTGCACCCAAAGACAGCTAGCTGGTGGCCATCCTCTGCATGACAGCTCCACCCACCCTCCAAACGAAGCCAGGTCTCCATCAGGCCAGGAGGGGAGGCCTGAGAGGGAAATGAGCCAGGGGGCCCGGGTGCTCATAGGACGGTACCGGTGGGCGAGGTGGAGATGAAAACTCAGTAGAGCTGCTCTGCCACCAGCCCAGCGAGGAAGGTAGCCACGCAGGCACCCTTGAAACATCCCCACGACACCCCCCACCCTGCTCTCAGACCTCCTAATTGGGCCAGTCCTTGGACCCACTCTGCAGAGGCATAGGTGGTAATAAAGGGTATTTTTCTAAGCTCCCAACTTTGAACATCTTTAAAGAAAGGGCGGGGGAAACCTGTAGTAGAACTGTGTGGAGTTCAACCCTGTAGGTTGGGAAACTCAATTTAGGCCTTGTGGCCTGAGGTCAGTCTGAGTCATGGGGATCTGTCATTGGCTAGCTGAGATCAGGGGACTTGGTTCTGCACATGGCTGTGCATGTGGTATATTATGACAGCAGAGACATACATAGTCTGAAAGAGGCCCTTCAAACTCTTTTTTTTTCTTTCTTTTCCTCATTCCACCCTGCAATTTCTTTCTTTTTTCTGTCCTCTTTCTCCAACACAGTCTCTTGCTCCACCATATTATCCCTCATCTCCCTTTCTGTTCCTGCTCCTACCCTAACTCAGACTTCTTTTTTATCATTTTTTCTTTCTTCTTTATGTTCTTTTCTTCTGTAATTTTACCTCACTCATGGGTCAGTAGTTTCAAGGGAAAGAGAGCCCCTGTTACTGTTAAGGGGATATATTCTTGTTCTTACTCTTGCATTCTGTCTATCCCTTTTGAAGTCAATAGGCTTCACTTGAAACCTCCTCCAATACTTTCACTTATCTACCCCTCTTGTCCTAACTCTGTCTAAGCCCCCATCCTAAATGGTAAAGATGCTATATTGAAAAGCATATCCACTGCAAACATATTTTGAGCTGCTTCTTCATTTTAATTTAATTCACATGGTTTAAAGGTGATAGATTAATGACTACCACAAGTGGTCAATTTGCAAGTTGTGCTTGATCCTATTGTGCTGCTGAATGTATCAATTGGGATAAAGGATTGTGATTGATTTAATGAGTTGTTTTCTCTGATATTATGAAAATGAGAATGTCTCTGAGGCATTAGAGGCACAAAAGCTAAAGTGTAACTATATCAGAAATATTTAAGTAATAACCCAGAAATTAAACCAAGGACAACTCAACAACAAAAATAAAAATGAGAAAACACTTAAGCAAGACACAAAGACAGACTTCCAGTCCACCAATGGCAAACAGTAGGGCAAATGAGGATGAAAAGTCTGATAGTGAACCACCAGGACACCCCGAACCCATAGCACAGGAAGTAACAAAACAGATAATCAGGCTCTAGAGAAATTCACAACAGAAATGATTTCCCAGGTGACCATAGAGATGGTGAGCAAAATGGAAGTCATGATTCGAGATGCTAGAACAGAAACTGAGAAAAAAAATAGATGAGCTCAGGACCATGATAGAAGCCATGAAAGTCCAGAATAAGAAAGAAATGGAAACAATGAATGCCCAACATAGGAAAGAAATGGAATCCATAAAAGATTCAAACAGATATCCAGGAAATTAAAAAACTCTATTGAAAGTGTACACAACAGAATAAAAGATTGCGAAGATAGAATTTCAGATATAGAAGATAGGGTTGCAGTCAGAGACCATGAAAAGAGAGGTCTCTTAAAAACAGTAAGGAATCATGAGAAATCGATTCAACAACTTCTAGATGATGCAAAGAAGAATAACATAAGACTGATAGGAATCCATGAAGTAGCAGGAGAAAATACAAATGACTTTAAAAAGCTCTTCACAGAATTAATGACAGAAAACCTCCCAAACAGAAGGGAAGAATTAGACATACAGACAAGTGAGGCATATAGAACTCCAACTAACCATGATCAAAAAATATCTACACCTAGACATATAATAATCAAGATCCCAGAAATCCAACAGAAGAACAAAATACTATAAGCAGTAAGAGAAAAAAAACAAATCACATGCAAAGGAAAAACCATCAGAATCACAGCAGACTTTTCAACACAAACCCTCAGGTCAAGGAGAGCCTGGAGTGAGGTATTTCAAGTCCTAAAAGAAAACAAGCTTCAACTTAAACTGATGTACCTGCAAAACTCTCTTTCAAAATGGATGGGGAAATAAGATACTTCCATGACAAAGAGCACCTGAGAAACTTCATGAATACCAAACCAGCACTACAAGGAATTCTAAACAAATCCTAGAAAAGGACAATGAAGGTCACAACACCATGAGGCCCAACAGACCAAATCAAATAGGCAAGGCGAGAAAATAAAAGGAGAGGGGGGACAAAGTAAAAAGAGTCAACAAAAGGACAATAACATGACAATAATAAGTCAGAACATATCAGTTATAACCATCAATGTCAATGGCCTCAACTCACCAATCAAGAGAAATAGACTGGCAGAATGGATTAAGAAGCAAAATCCAACAATATGTTGTATACAAGAAACACACCTAGTCCAAAAAGAAGTCCACAGACTGAAAGTGAAAGGATGGGAAACAATACTCCATGCAACAGGAGCCCAGAAAAAAACCATGGGTAGCAATCTTATTCACAGAAAACGTAAATTTCAAGCCAAAACTCATTAAGAGAGACAAAGAAGGCCACTACATCCTTGTAAAGGGAACAATTGAAGAGGAAGAGATCACAATCATAAACATATATGCACCAAATATTAATGCCCCACCTATATAAAACAAATATTAAGTAACATGAAAAATGAAATAAGCACTGATACAACTGTAGTGGGGGGTTTAAATACCTCATTATCACAAATAGATAGATCATCTAGGCAGAAAATCAACAATGAAATACTAGAACTGTACCAAGCTTTGGAACACATGGACTTAATAGATGTCTTTAGTGTATTCCACCCCACAAAATCAGAATATACATTCATTTCGGCTGCACATGGGTCATTCTCTAAGATAGAACACAT